TGAACTGGAATCCAGGACTTGTTCAGAGTCTACAGGTATTCAGACCTTTGCTTGATAAATACTTGAGAGTTCTTCCGTATAGTGGCACAGTTTTATTGTGATAAAAAATATCTTGCTGTTTAAATGCGTTACATTCTTTATTGGTTCTGGTTTTGTAGCAATGGCACGTTTCTTGTTCTTTTATCTTCTCCCTGAGTTGAATCACTGCAGTACCTCTCTAATCTAAGACTGTAGATTTTAGTAATGCAGCAGTTCCATTACCGACAACTATAATTGGAATTATGTCTCTATAATTTTAATGGTGTTGTTTTTCTTCCCTGATACTCCTGCAAATCAATATTAATGTGAATATTTAAATCTACAAAATCTGCACTTATTCTATTTGAAGTATTAGATGAAGCTTGGAAAGCTATTTTTTTATTCAGTTCGTCTCCTAACCTAGTCAAGTTAAAACCATAGAAAAGTGTCAGATTTGTGATTTGTTCTAAAAGCTTTCAGCTTTAATAGTGTAGTGTTATATTTTAAATTATAGTTTTTGTGAAGCAGTGAACATATATGCTCCTGTCATACATTGGAAATAAATGTATCATTTGAGTGAATGGCAGATTCTTATAGAGAGTAAGAAAATGGATGAAAGTTGGAAAATACATTTAATAGGTACTTTTCCAGGGACCTCTCCTCTGCCTTTAATGTCTGTTCTTTCTGGGAAGAAGAAAAAGCCATCTATTTTCTGAAGCCTTTTTCATCTTTCTGCTTTCTTTTTCTACTTCCAGTAAATACATTCATTCTTTAAACATGAAGGTGAGGAATTACTGAAATATGTTTCAAAAGCAAATAGTTTCTTAATTGAAAGTAATACCATCCATACAATTTCTCTGGACAAGTTATTTTATACTCAGGTAGGATTGTCTTTATTGCATTTACTGGTGCAAAGGTTGTGACCTTTCATCTGAGAAAGATCTTTGTTTTTTTTTGAGGACATTTTTACTGTGCTTATGTAAGGAGTACTACCCATTAATGTGTTTGAGTCAGTCTTCATGGATTCATTTCCCCTTCCTTTACAGCCAACTCTTGTAAAATCTTCATTAAATCTGGAATTTGTTTCCAACATATGAAGGAGCTAAGGCATCAAAATGCCTATAAGTTTTCTTGGGTTTGCTAAAATCTCTACAAAATTATTTTGTAAGCAAAACCAGCCAAGTTCAAACAACTTTATGCTCCATGAGTCATTCACCATATGCCTTGGAAAGGCATAACCTGTACTTGTCTCCTCAAGACTAGTGTCTGAGTATTTGGGGAAACACTCAGAAAAATGGAGACGCTTTAGTAATGTCATTACTGCAGTGTCCTAAATTCTTGCTCATTTCAATAAATCAAGGACATGTGCTTTTCTGTGCTGTGAGTTCTGGGAAGTATTTCTGAAGAGAAACTCAAGCACATTCATGACACTTCTCTTTCCTCTAATGCCTGTTTCTAGGGAACACCAAAGGGAACTAATCCAGGCCATATGAAATCTCCTGCTTATTTTCTTTCTCCACACAATTGCAAGGACTGAATATGATGGAAGATTTTTTGGCTTCCTCTCCTTCATGTATAATCTCATAAATGATGGACATATACAGTGCAATATGAGACAGCTAGGACATAACTATAGAGAACAAACTTACCTATTCAAGTTGAGGTTTGCTACAGGAAACATATCTAGGTCTTCTTTTTATTTAAAAAAGTTACTTTGTAGGAATATCAACTATTGCAAATATTACTTTTCAAAGAGCATGTTATATTTGTGAAATATAATTAGAAATAGAAAGTTTACATTTAGAGTATTATGTATTCCTCCCTATCCTATTCACAGTCTGCTTTCTATTAGAATCTGAAGTGCATCACTGCATTTAACTGCTGCTGTTTGTTACAGATAGTGGAGTCTGGAAAGAATAGTATATAGGTAGCAGCTGATAAAGTACAAAATTAACTTACTTCCTGAGATTCAAAGGTTAGTAAACTTGCTTTCTGCTTTCTTGGAGGATGTAAAAAATATTTCACCTTATTTCAGTGGTTCAATAATGGTCCACATCACTTTTTAAAAAAANTTTTTTTTTTTTTTTTTTTTTTTTTTTTTTTTTTTTTTTTTTTTTTTTTAGTACAGGTCATGCAGAACATATTAAATAATTGTAATGACATAATGACAGAAAATAAAGCTATGCTTCCTTCCATGGAACATGGGCATTAACTTGTCCAGGTAATATTTAAAAATAATGGATGCCAATCCTTGGGTTTGTAAAATGCTAAATATTTAATTATTCTGTAGGGGGCAGCAGACTCTAAACAAAATTAGTATTAGAGTTGGGCAGTAGGGGGAACAGGAACACTGAATTGCTTGCTTTTCACTTTTTGCTGGGAGGTAGAAATGTACCTGAATTGCTGCAAAATTAGCAACATTGCCTAATTATTATTCTTTAAATTATAAAACACAGGTTGCATGCATTCTTTTTTTCTTTTTATCTAATCTCTTATTTTATATACAGAACTACTGAAGCTGAACAAAACCAGTGAGATAAAATTAACACACAAATTGTTTTTTCCTCCCTTTGGGGTGAAAAAATGCAATTTACAAGGAAAATGGAATTATATATAAATATTTATGAAATAAAAAAGTCAACTAACATCAGTGGGGTTTTGTATGTGAGTGAGGTAGCAAAAAATAATACCAAGTTTGACTATTTGATTAATTATTAACATTTGCATTGCATCCCAATGAGGAACTTAGTCTGGAAAAGGAATATTTTGCTATTTGTTATTGTCCATAATTAATTTTCAAGTGGCAAGCTAGATTACGAGTCAAAGAAATTTATTTTTTAATTAACCAATAATACAGATAAATTCTACCTTTTCTGTCATTAATATAGTGGAACTAAAACTACAATACAAGGACCTGTCATACTCTCTTCCACCCAACGGAGTATTGTTTTGGTAGAAAGAAATTAAGAAAGGAATGATTGTAAATTATATGCTGTCTATTCAGTGGGGAGAATCCATTCTGATCATACTTTAAATGATGAGACTCTGAGTAAATGCTATCATTTTTGTTTCAATAAGCTATCTTCAATTCTGTTTAATCATGTGACTTGAAAACTATAGAATAACATATCTTTCATTTCTACAGCATTGGGTCTTTGAAAAAATGTTTTGACTGTGTAACTGAAAATAATTAGGTGTAAGAAGAAGCCGCAGTTCAAATTCTTCTGGTTTAGTCTTAATACACCACTTAACAGTGGGGTTTTCTGCAAAATAATGGTGTTAGATTTTAATCTGAGTTTTATGGGTTTATTTCTCCATTACTGAACTTGATGAGAGGCTTCTGAAAATTTCAGTAAGTTAATGATGGAAAATAACACAATTTTAAGACAACAAATGGCAGCAAAAATGAACTTTTACAGAGCAAAATGCCAGTAGAGCTTCATGATAGTTTACTGACATGTTTTAATGCCTATGAATTGATGTGTTATAAGGGGGATTTCAGCACTGCAACATAGCACAATCATCACACTTAACTGTAAACTAAATCAAACACGCTAAGCAGTGATCTACCTCTAAAACAGCAAACAATGCTGAGTGTGCAGCAGGAGGCAGCTATAAATGCTTATATCTCAGTTTAAATACCTGACTGCTAAACTGCCTTCTACCACTTACTGTAACATAAAATTATTTTGTTGAAGCCCCAAAGCTTTCTCTTTTCTCACACTGCTGAGGTTTGAAAGAAAACACTAAGCTGACTTGCACTGCAGACATTTTATAGGACAAGGCAGTGACAACAAATTTCAGAGCATTTTTAGACTTTGTTATCATAACCATCACAGCAGATTTTAGTTTCCTTCACAGAAGAGGTAATTATCCATCCAGAAATGAACTTTGAAATGAAGGAATAGAATGAAGCAATTTAACCAATGTAAAGATAACATTTTTCTCCCTCCATATCTCACATAAGATCGGGGAGATAAAGTAAGTGTAGGCTCGGGTGTATCTTCAGTGTGTGTTTGGTGTGAACAGAGTGGACAACTGAGTCCCTTGAGCCAGTGATAATGCATTGAGAAGAGATACAAGTTCTTGTTCTTATTCCCAAAATGTGGCATTCTCCGAACTGTTTATCAATTTATAAAAGCACATTTTACAAGGACAAATCTGTGTCTTAAAGAAAATTAGAATTTTTAAGTGCTGCCAAGCATTCCAGTACAGAAAAATCATAATTTTATTTAAATTACTACATTAGGTACCTAGACATGTTTATAAGGCGGAAAAAAATGTGTTTTTTAATGTGGAGCGTGTTTCTGTTCAGAATTTAAAATCAAGATAAATATGCATATAGTACAAATGGGACTTTTTTAATTTCTAAAATTATTTATTTTGTATATTTTCCCCCCAGTATATCTTTGAAATTACTGAATGATGCTCTATTTTAGAAAAGTTTAAGACTGGGTAGCATTGCTACTGTTGGCTGTTTTTCTTTTAGACTTGAAAATTTTATTTCTTTTTTCTGGTATGTAAATCTTGTAAAGATCTGATCTAAAAAAATACAAGTTTTGCAGTTCAGAGACTTTAAAAGACTGAAAAGGCCAACATTTTCTGCTGTGCACACAACTGTGCACACCTTAGTCTTTCATCTTCAGAGAGTGCATGCTCATAATCTAATGTGAAAAATACACAGTAAATAGTCTTCCACTCACATATTTTCTCACCTTCTAATAATCACATACTAAAAACTTATATATGGCTGATAGCAGCAAGGCTCCCTCTACCTATCTCAGAAAGCCATGGGCAAGAAGGAACTTACAAACTGGTCACATGAGACAATTTGGGTCTGTCAAAGGGTTTTTTTGTTCCACTGTGGGATAGCACTGGGGTAATCATCAAAATTTCCTAGTCCAATCTCACTATTCCTTTTAACTTACTTCTTTTGACAGGAATGAAAGGACAGATGACTTCCCCATCCCTTGTACAACCACACATGATTATGGGGCCCACATGGACATCAGGAGCTCTGGTCTGTCTGTGTGATTTTGGTAAGCTAAACCACAACTTTTGAGGAATGACCTCATGTGAAGGCAAGGATCTTTGTAGCCCTTACATATGAAAACTGTAAATTGTACATAATAACATGTATCACATTGTTTCATCTTTTTACATCACTCACATGTAGCTACAAGACTATTAGGAATCTAGATACTCTATATGCACCAAAGGCATTGAGTAAGATTTCTCAAGAAATGCAGCATCTTTACATTTTCATTTTCTCATGCTCTGTATTTTGCATATTTTAACTGATTTCTTCACAAATTATCTGACTTACCCTTCTGAACAATTTTACAGTCATATGTTTTATGAATAAAAAACAATATTCAAACACAAAAACAGTTATCCTAAACCAAATTTATTTCAGTACTCTATTTCCAGTGCTATGTAGTAGTAGAACAGTGTTAGAAAAAGGTGGCCTCTTAAAGACCTTATTTGTTATGTGAAGGTTTTCAAATAACTTTTGGTTTAGAAATTGCCTACAAACAGTTCATAAAGTGTAATCAGTCTGATATGATTAGTCATACTCAATGTTGCCAGCATACAAAGTTAAAAGACTACATTTTTCTAAGGGTCATTCTATTTTTCATGTCTTTGTTTGTTGGTTCATATGTTTGCTTAGAAGATTCATATTTCCTTTGTTTAGCAATAAAAGATAAAAATTAGCTCTATGATTTTTGTTTTTCTGAAGCCAGTATATTTGCAGAACAATGTTTACTGACCTTAAGATCGTTAAATATCTTTCCTCTCTCATGCTCTGCTCCAGGAAATGAGCCAAACGCTCAGACCTCACCATGTGGCCCTGGTTAGCTGCTCTTGTACATTAAGCTAAGCACATGCATATCTGTCTGACTGCATCAGAACCAAGGAGCTTAGCTCTGAGCAACTGCTGACATCCTTTATATGCAACACAGCACTGAGGCACACTGCATTCTGTGGGACTGGACCACCCCCCTCAAACTGTCAGAGCAAATAAGCAAGAACAATTCATTGAAAGTACTTTTCATTATCCATAGGTATGATCCTGCATTTGATATGTGATTATACAGTATTTTATAAATAATATTCTCCCTGATATAACACTGAGTGACAGAACCTCTGTTTCCACAGATAAAACAGACAGTCAAAAAACTGTACCAGGATGTTTGGGAAAAGCAAATACAAAGGATAAAAATATATGGAAAGTTCACAAAAAACCCCTAGTGTTTTCTGAATTCATATATATCCATATTGAGAACACATAGGAAGTATTATAATTTTTTTCCAGTTTTATATAGAAATATTTTTTAAATTAAATCATTATAAAGTTTGTGTGAATAAGGATCTAGAAGTGTCAACAATGACACAGGAGACGGGATATAGCCCTGGCTTCAGAACAAAGTTATATGAACCTTACTGAAGTATCTTTCAGCTTCCGTAAAAAATATGATTTGATAAAGTATTCAAATATTGTTCTATGTAATCTGTGCTGAAGGTTCATAGAGTCATAGAAATTCAAGTTTTTTAAATAGACTTGAAATTTCTATGAAATAGACTCATAGAAATTCAGTAACACTTCAGTCTGTAGGACTGAAAATGAGAGAGGGCATTTCTTTCATACTATTTTTTTGGGGGAGGACATTTCTGTTTTTCTACTTTTTTGTCAGCCTTTGAAGTAATATTTGGAAGAAGTGTAAATAAATGAAAAAAAATGCTAGGGTAGAAATTGAAACTCAGGTTGGCTTTCAACAACAACTGTACAAACAGTTATGTACAAGTAGAACCTCAGTTTTTTGGTTTTTTGAAACTGCTGGCTTGGCTCAGTTGGACTTTCTATTT